TGAATATTTTCTGCTGTAGAATGTAGTACACCTCAACATTTTTCAGAGTTGATCAATATTTTGATTTTAAAATGCTGAGAATGCTACTTTGCATAAATACATTGTACAAAGCAAGAGAAGTAAGTTTCTGGCCATTTCATAAATTGTTGGAAATTTTGTCCTAATCTCAAGCCAAAATCATTGAATGATTTGTCTTATGAAGCTCATGCCAGCAATTCAAATAGCAGTTTTTAAAACTAAACCTTCTAACACAATGCAATCCAAAGATACGCTCATTCGATAGTGCTAAGGGACAATGGCAGAGGAATCCTCAAAGTCTTTGTCTTTGTAATCAGACCATCCTGTTTCTATAATGGCTCTGCAGAGGAGAGCTCTGAGCTGAAGAGAGACACTTTCAGGACACTCTCTCGGGGACAACCTGCTGTCTCAGGGTACAAGACGAAGTCCATGAAAGGCTCCAAGCAGGGGACTGACACCCTTTGTTTATATAAAGCCAAACAAATAGAAGGCAACAGCCTGGGCATGTGGTACAGTGTGGAGTGTTATAGAGAGTTTGCAGATCAGCAAGGGGTAGTGGATACCAGACTGTGCTGGTTCAAGTTCAGAGGCCACTTAGGAGGTCCCTGCTCTCCAGGGCTCCCATGTGTCCCTGGCCTCTCTCCTTACCTTTGGTTTCCTTGAGCAGCTCCTCTGTGAACTTGACCACCTGGACCACCTCAACCCATGGGAAGCCTTTTCCCACTGCAAAGATGACACTGTCATAGAGGGTGTCCAGCAGGATGCTCTGGGGGGCATCCCTCAGCTCGTCAAAGTCCTCCCAATTCAGGAGCCTCCGCAGATGCTCTCGCCCCTGGGGCTTCTGCAGGGTGTGATGTGAGGAAATGAGATGATGTCATTACAGGTACACCACCATTGGGGGCGGGCACCTAAATCCTGAGAATAACCAGGAATGTGGGGGACACCCAGAGAGAAGCAGACTTTGGTTTGTAGATAGTGTGGCCTCCCTTTCTCAGGACTTGTTCTCCTGTGTGTGTTCCTGTGTGAGTTGGTGCACGGGTGTGAGCAAGTATGTTGTATGTAGAGACCAGAGGGCATCCTCAGGCCTCATTCCCAACTCGGTGTCCACCTTTGTTCTGAGACAAGGTCTTGACTGGCCTGGAATTCACTGAGAAGGCTCAGCTGGTTGCCCAGAGAGCCCCAGGGATCTGCCTATCTTGTTTCCCTAGCTCTGGGACTACAAGGCTGCATCACCACCCACAGCTTTCTATTGCGTGGATTCTAGGGATTGAACTCAGGTCTTTGTGCTTGTGCGCCAAGAATTTTACCAGCTGAGCTATCTCCCTAGCCCCACTTCTTTTTTCTAGCATTCTTCCTTTCTTTGAGAGCTCTCAAGCTAGCTCCAGGATTGTGCAGCTGCAGCAAGCAGTCTCACATTTTGAATGAATGGTTCTCTTTCTGTTCGCTAAAACAAAAACTTGATTTCTTGTTAAGACAACTTTCAGCTAGCTAGTCTAGTAGCCAGATACATTCATACTAGAGTGAGAATGGCTGGTGGAGAAGAGGTTTGGTGAGGCTTTAATAGAATGAGTCTTGCTTGGTAGAAGTAGTTCTGGGGCCCTTGAGGAGAAGGCGGATCTGGTAAACCTTTCCCTTGGTGGGAGTCCTGGAAGCAAATGCCACATGAACCACATAATAAGATGTGGGGAGATGGAGAGACCCACTCTAGGTAGGAGTGTCACTCCCCAAGGGCAAGGAAGCTCTGGGTGGGGGGGGGGTCCCTAGGAGATCAATGGCAGACCTTGTGACAGGTAGCCTAGAGCCCTGTCCTCGGCCCTAGCAGTTCCTCTTTACTGAATGCCCCTCTCTGTTCCAGGGAGCCCTTCCCAGCAGCATCCAGCAGCAAGAGCCCCTTTGCCCTCCCTCAACCCCACATAGCTCACAGCTCCAGAGGGCTTGTTGGGGCCCAAGACACCCAGATGGCAAGTCCTGTTTCCTTCCCCACCCCAGGTGGGCTCTGATGCAGCAGATAATGTCTCTGTAGGCCAAAAACTAGCCTGCAGGGTCCGGAGCTGGTGAGTCTGGAATTCTAGTTTCAAGTACCCTCTAGTTTCATACCCTCAGAGGGAGTATGCCACCCAAACAGGCAGCAGTCCATGAGCCTTTGCTGGCACGTACCCCTACTAGAGCCACTGGAGCCAAGTTCTCTAAAAGCCCCCATCTTTACCTGAAACTGGAAGACTTCCTTCACTCCCTGGGGTGTTAGGAGTGCCATGGCCCTGCCTCCCTTGTTGCTAGGAGACCTAGCTGGGACTGACTCAGTTCCTGGAACCCCGAGCAGGAGGGCTGGCTTTGTTAAGTCATAGGGTTCCTGAGGTTGCGAGTTTCTTCCCTCCTGGTCCCGCTGCAGCACTGTACTCCGGGTCATCCCGGTCCACCAGTACAGGGACCTTAGTCCCTTTCCCCTGTTGTTGCCGACCTCAGCCACTCAGCTGTTCTAAACACACACACACACACACACACACACACACACACACACACAGATTGTGTACATCCTGGTCTCCCTATCCAAAGGTTAGGTTTTGTCTCCATGTAGACTTCACGTCCTTTCTTATGCCATTTCCTCAGATCTACATTGCCCTCAGCAGCAGCGTCCGTGATTTTGTGTTTCTTTGCAAAAGAAAACAGCTTGGGAGGGGTACCCCAAGTGCTATGCCCAGATACCACTTGCTGGGATGAGGTGTCAGCCTCTCTCCTGTCCTCCTCTGTCCTGTGTCACCTGGGTCACTTGAAGAACAGAAATGGCACACTCCCACCTCATTGCCTATGCCCAGAGTCCCACTAGGGGAACCCAGGGACCCTGGCTGGGTTGGTGTGCCCTGGCGTGTCCTTTTCCCACCACCCCGAAAATGCACCCTGACCCTTCTCCCTGGTGACTCTTGCCAACACCTTGACAACCAATCTGCACAGAGCTCACTCTTCAGGAAGTTTCCAGACACTTCTCTCCAGCTGACCAGATGTCCTCCTACTTGTCCACACCAATGCTGGACTGCTCCTGTCCCTTTTCCCAACCACCTCCACATCTGTTCTTTTTGCCTCCTTCACATTTAGGAGCCTGTCCTCTTCCCACCTCTCTGCCTAGTACCAAGTAGAACCCCATTATTTCCTACCCATCCTGGCAGTCCTGCACCCCAACTTACCCATTACCCACACTGTTGCTAGAGCAGACACCCGATAGAGCTAGGGGAGCCTGCCGATTACCGCTTTCTGTATCTTGTTGGAGTGTGCTGCAGTAGGGGGCTGAGATCCCATGGAGATGGCTGGACTTCGTTTCATGTTGATTGTGAACCCTACACCTCACACTTGATGCACGCTCATATAAATCAGATCACATCAGCTTCTTGCCACACAACCTTCCATGTCCACTCATCCCACAAGCCCAAAGGTCTCACCTGGCTCACAAGGCCCTGGGCCACCTGGATCTTTCCCTCTTTCCCAGCCCAGCCTACTGGCCTCAAGGCTTTACAACATATCCTCTAGGATTCTGCCCTGCTGTTTACACTTCCTGGAATGTTTTTTTCTACCTCTGCTGTGCCTAGGGTTCTGGTACCTGGTATTTCCTGAGGGGTTACTGTAGCAAGCAGTGTGTCCCTGATCACACTCTGTGCCTTACAGGGTCTCTCTCTCTCTCTCTCTCTCTCTCTCTCTCTCTCTCTCTCTCGCTCTCTCTCTCCCCCCTTGTGCAGGCCAAAGGACAACCTCAGGTGTCATGCACAGGAATGCTGTCCACCTCTTTTGAGACAGGGCCACTCACTGTTTTGCAAACCACCAATTACTCTAGACTGGCTGGCCAGTACTAGGATTACAAGTGCCCACCCAATGGCACTTTCATGTGAGTTCTGGGGATTGAATATAGATCTTTGTGCTTGTGAGGCAAATAAATGCTTCACCAACTGAGCCATCTCCCCAGGCCAAACTTGCAGTTTTCCCTTAGCTCTGTGGATGACTTGTTTCAGTGTCTGCTACTCTGGAAGAAAGGCACTTCACTTTATACTTTTTGTTATTTGGGGGGAGGGGCAGGGTCTCCCTGCAGCCCCAGATGGCCTGGAACTCACTATGTAGAACACCTATGTAGGCTGATCTTAATCTCAGAGATCTACCTGCTCTGCCTCCCAAGTGCTGTGATTAAAAGCGTGCACCACCATGCCCAGCCTCATTTTATACTTTTTTTTTAACTTTTACAAAAACTTTATTGAGAATTTCATACACGCATATAAGGTGTTTTGATCAAATCCATGCCCACTCCCTCCTTTCCAACACCTCCTGCATCTCCCGTCACTTTTTTCTTTTCTTTTTTTTTTTCTTTCATTTATTTATTTTTATGGGGCTTTTGGCTACTCTAACATTCCCTCCTCTGAAGAGGTAACCCTAAAATCTTTTAAGGATAGATAAGAGCTCCCAAATACTTTTGACATTTTTGGCCTTTGGAACAGAGGAT